CTCACACACACACTCACTCACACACTCACACACACTCTCACACTCACACACACACACCCCCCACACACACCACTCTACACACACACACACACACACACTCACACACACACACACACACACACACACACACACACACATTAATGAAGGACAGGAACGATCAGGTGTGTGTGTGTGTGTGTTTGAGGACATAATTTTGTATAATGACAAAGGTATGACATAGGTATTACAAGGAGATTCCCATAATGTTTTTTAAAGGTTATGTAAATGTTAGGACAAAACATCCTTAAAATAATGTTTATGGAACGTTCTTATAACATTATTGATATCTGATGCATTCTTGTAATGTTGAGAGGAAACATTCTTAGAAAAATGCTCTCCGAACGTCTTTATGATGTTATTTGTATGTTTTCAGAGCTGTGTTCAGTTACGTTCATCAGTGATCACAACACAACATTCTCATAATGTTTTCAGAATGATAGAATGAAATGTTTCTCTAACATTTGCAAAACCAAAAAAAAACTAATAACAGAAATAGTTTTCATAACAAAAAAAGATGTTTAAATATTATAAAAACAGCTGTTTTAAATGTTGAGAAAACATTCAAATGTAACTTTCTTGTAATGTTTTCTAAATGATAGAATGAAATGTTTCTCTAACGTTCACATAACCGAGAAGAAACCTTCTCAAAACGTTTAAAAACATTCAGAAATAACATTTTCATAACTTCATGGGAATGTTAATGCAAGACTTGTTTGTGATCTGAGAAAGAGTCGCGCAGCAGTCAGAGGAAGAGCAGAAGCACTACGTTTTGTTGTTGTATGGTCTGTTCTCGCAGATCTCTGGAGACAGATAGTACGGCGTGCCGACGCAGGTCCTGGCGAGCTCCATGGTGCTGCTCGACACAGACGACAGAAGAGCATCAGAACACACCCCACACACACACACACGTGCACACACACACACACACACACTCACACACACTCTCACACTCACACACACACACACACACACACACACACACACACACACACTCACACTCTCTCTCACCTGTTCAGTATTCTGGCGATGCCGAAGTCTCCCAGCTTGACCTTCAGGCCTCCTTGAGTGAGGAAGATGTTCTGGAGACCATGATGGACAGAATCAGATGGTTAGGGGTTAATGACAGACGAGCGGAGCTTTAACACACGCGTGTCTGACCGCACCTGAGCTTTGATGTCTCTGTGCAGGACCTTCCTGTCGTGAATGTGCTTCAGTCCCAGACAGATCTGAACAAACCAGTCCACGATCTGAAACACACACACACACGATTTCATCCGAGAAAACACCTTTATTCACAAAAGATACATTATATCCACACACAATTGATGTATAGAATTATAATTTCTATTTTAAATAAATGAAGTTCTATTCATGTAAGAATCCTCCATGTGCATTTTCATCAGGACAATACACAAAAATAAAACACTATATTTTATGGAAGCCTGTTTCCGGCACAGAATAAAGAAAAAAATAAAGCAAGCAAGCAAGCAAATTTTATTTATATAGCACTTTTCTAAACAAGTTAATTCAATTCAAAGTGCTTTACAGACACGAAGGAACCAAAATGATACAGCAATTAACACAAATTAAACTGAACAGAATAAAAAAAAACTAAAATTGACCCATTAAAATACATTAATGGATTATAATATGAAATATAGAATAAAACATTAAAAATTTGGCAAAACAAAACAAAAGAAAAGCCAGACTAAAAAACTATGTTTTTAATTTAGATTTAAAACTGTTAATGTTTTCAGCACATCTTATGCTCTCCGGAAGGTTGTTCGGCTAAAAGCAGCATCACCGAATCTTTTAGTTCTGCTGAGGTACAGTTAGAAGAAAAGAATCAGAGGATCTAAGAGTTCTTCTGGGTTCATATACTGGAAGCATTTTTGAAAGATAGTCTGGAGCAAGTCCGTGCAATGCCTTATAAACTAATAAAAGATTTTTAAAATCAATATGAAAACTAACAGGTAACCAGTGCTTTAATACTGGAGTAATATGATCTCTCTTTTTGGTTTTTGTCAATATTCGAGCAGCAGTATTTTGGATTAATTGTAATTGGTTAATTGTATTCTTCGGTAGAAATGAAAGGAGAGCATTACATCAGTCAAGCCTGCTAGTTATAAATGCATGCATACATTTTTCTGTGTTGCTCAGAGAAAGAAATGGACTTACTTTAGCAATGTTCTTCAGATGATAAAATGCTGTTAAAGTTAAAATCAGAATCAAAGACAACTCCTAAGTTTTTTGCCACATGGCTTGGGTTTAATCCGAGTATATTTAGTTTAGACTTTGTCTATTTTTGAAGCAATTGATAGCAAAATTCTGGAAGAAATAGTGCAGCACCTTAAATCGTCAACCTGCTATCTTGACACACTTCCCACATCTTTTTTCAAAATGGTGCTTAACTGTTTAGAAGCAGATCTCGTAGAAGTGTTTTTTTTTTAGATGGGTCTATAATTACTAGGAGTTTAAATATCCGAGCTCCCTTTTTTATACACAGGCTTTACTAGGGCAGATTTAAGATCAGAAGGGAAAATGCCAAGCTGCAGGGAGTGATTTACTATCTCAAGGATATCAATAGATATAGATATCGATCTGGAGTCAAAAATACTTTTAAAAAGAGAGGTAGGACTTGGATCAAAGGAACAAGTAGACGTCTCAGTTCTGTTACAACCTTTCTTAGTGTCTCAAAATCGACCACAGTAAAACTTTCCATTTTAACAGTATTCTCTACACCTAATAATGGAGGGAGCATAATTGACAGATTATCATTTATTAAACAGATTCCTGATCTAATGTGTATAACTTTATCTCTGCAAACTCTTCACATTTTGAACTTGGTAACTCAGAACTATAATCAATTTTATGATTTATTAGTGAAACTATTGTATTAAATAATAATCGGGGGTTATTAATATTTGCATTTAAAGGTAATTGCGACTCTTTATTTCACAATTTAGAATTTTTTTAATATATATAACTAGAGATATAAATTCACAGTTCTGAGAAAAAAGTCAAAATCGTGAGAAATAAATTAGAATTCCGACTTTTTTTCTCAGAATCCTGAGTTTACATCGTGCAATTCTATTTTTTTTTTATATTTCCGACACACACACACACACACACACACACTCACACACACTCTCACACTCACACACACACACACACACACACACACACACACACACACACTCACACTCTCTCTCACCTGTTCAGTATTCTGGCGATGCCGAAGTCTCCCAGCTTGACCTTCAGGCCTCCTTGAGTGAGGAAGATGTTCTGGAGACCATGATGGACAGAATCAGATGGTTAGGGGTTAATGACAGACGAGCGGAGCTTTAACACACGCGTGTCTGACCGCACCTGAGCTTTGATGTCTCTGTGCAGGACCTTCCTGTCGTGAATGTGCTTCAGTCCCAGACAGATCTGAACAAACCAGTCCACGATCTGAAACACACACACACACGATTTCATCCGAGAAAACACCTTTATTCACAAAAGGTACATTATATCCACACACAATTGATGTATAGAATTATAATTTCTATTTTAAATAAATGAAGTTCTATTCATGTAAGAATCCTCCATGTGCATTTTCATCAGGACAATACACAAAAATAAAACACTATATTTTATGGAAGCCTGTTTCCGGCACAGAATAAAGAAAAAAATAAAGCAAGCAAGCAAGCAAATTTTATTTATATAGCACTTTTCTAAACAAGTTAATTCAATTCAAAGTGCTTTACAGACACGAAGGAACCAAAATGATACAGCAATTAACACAAATTAAACTGAACAGAATAAAAAAAAACTCAAATTGACCCATTAAAATACATTAATGGATTATAATATGAAATATAGAATAAAACATTAAAAATTTGGCAAAACAAAACAAAAGAAAAGCCAGACTAAAAAGCTATGTTTTTAATTTAGATTTAAAACTGTTAATGTTTTCAGCACATCTTATGCTCTCCGGAAGGTTGTTCGGCTAAAAGCAGCATCACCGAATCTTTTAGTTCTGCTGAGGTACAGTTAGAAGAAAAGAATCAGAGGATCTAAGAGTTCTTCTGGGTTCATATACTGGAAGCATTTTTGAAAGATAGTCTGGAGCAAGTCCGTGCAATGCCTTATAAACTAATAAAAGATTTTTAAAATCAATATGAAAACTAACAGGTAACCAGTGCATTAATACTGGAGTAATATGATCTCTCTTTTTGGTTTTTGTCAATATTCGAGCAGCAGTATTTTGGATTAATTGTAATTGGTTAATTGTATTCTTCGGTAGAAATGAAAGGAGAGCATTACATCAGTCAAGCCTGCTAGTTATAAATGCATGCATACATTTTTCTGTGTTGCTCAGAGAAAGAAATGGACTTACTTTAGCAATGTTCTTCAGATGATAAAATGCTGTGAAAGTTAAAATCAGAATCAAAGACAACTCCTAAGTTTTTTGCCACATGGCTTGGGTTTAATCCGAGTATATTTAGTTTAGACTTTGTCTATTTTTGAAGCAATTGATAGCAAAATTCTGGAAGAAATAGTGCAGCACCTTAAATCGTCAACCTGCTATCTTGACACACTTCCCACATCTTTTTTCAAAATGGTGCTTAACTGTTTAGAAGCAGATCTCGTAGAAGTGTTTTTTTTTTAGATGGGTCTATAATTACTAGGAGTTTAAATATCCGAGCTCCCTTTTTTATACACAGGCTTTACTAGGGCAGATTTAAGATCAGAAGGGAAAATGCCAAGCTGCAGGGAGTGATTTACTATCTCAAGGATATCAATAGATATAGATATCGATCTGGAGTCAAAAATACTTTTAAAAAGAGAGGTAGGACTTGGATCAAAGGAACAAGTAGACGTCTCAGTTCTGTTACAACCTTTCTTAGTGTCTCAAAATCGACCACAGTAAAACTTTCCATTTTAACAGTATTCTCTACACCTAATAATGGAGGGAGCATAATTGACAGATTATCATTTATTAAACAGATTCCTGATCTAATGTGTATAACTTTATCTCTGCAAACTCTTCACATTTTGAACTTGGTAACTCAGAACTATAATCAATTTTATGATTTATTAGTGAAACTATTGTATTAAATAATAATCGGGGGTTATTAATATTTGCATTTAAAGGTAATTGCGACTCTTTATTTCACAATTTAGAATTTTTTTAATATATATAACTAGAGATATAAATTCACAGTTCTGAGAAAAAAGTCAAAATCGTGAGAAATAAATTAGAATTCCGACTTTTTTTCTCAGAATCCTGAGTTTACATCGTGCAATTCTATTTTTTTTTTATATTTCCGACACAGAATAAAAAAAATAAAAAAGGTAATTGCAACTTTTGTCTCACAATTCAGATTTTTTCCCTTGAAATTCTGAGAAAAAAGTCAGAAACTTGAGATATAAACTCACAACGAGTTTTTTTTTCATTTCCACTATGGAATAAAAAAGATAATTACTATTTACAACACAATTCTGACTTTCCTTTTCAGAATTGTGAAAAAAAGTCAAAATTATGAGATGTAAACATAAAAAATAAAAAGCCCCAATTACCTTTCTTATCATTTTATTACCTGATAGAAATTTTTCACTAGCACTTGTTAAAATTACAAATGACTTGCTTCTTGCATCAGACCAAGGCTGTGTCTCATTGCTAGTTTTACTTGATCTTAGTGCTGCGTTCGATACTATAGATCATGACATACTCATAGATCGATTACAAAACTATACAGGTATCCAAGGGCAGGCTTTAAGATGGTTTAGATCCTACCTGTCCGATCGCTACCACATTGTTCATTTAAATGGGGAGTCATCTCAATTATCACCAGTAAAACATGGAGTGCCACAAGGATCTGTCCTAGGTCCTCTGCTATTTTCGATATACATGTTGCCACTTGGTAATATTATTAGGAAATACGGGATTAGTTGCCACTGTTATGCCGATGATACTCAACTATATATCTCAACAAGACCAGATGAAACTTCTAAATTATCTAAGCAAACGGAGTGTGTTAAAAATGTAAAGGAATGGATGACCAATAATTTTCTCCTATTAAATTCAGATAAGACAGAGATATTACTTATTGGACCAAAAGACAGTACGCCGAATCTCGTGGATTACAATTTGCAACTAGACGGATGCACGGTTACCTCCTCTACAGTCAAAAATCTGGGTGTTATATTAGATAGCAACTTGTCTTTTGAAAATCATATTTCCCATGTTACAAAAACGGCATTCTTCCATCTTAGAAACATTGCCAAGTTACGAAACATGATACCTGTTTCTGATGCAGAAAAGCTAGTTCATGCATTCATGACCTCTAGACTGGACTACTGTAATGCACTGCTAGGTGGTTGTCCTGCATCCTCAATAAACAAGCTACGGATAGTCCAAAATGCAGCGGCTAGAGTCCTTACCAGGTCAAGAAAATATGATCATATTACCCCAATTTTACAGTCTCTGCACTGGCTACCTGTTAAGTTCCGTATCAGTTACAAAATATTATTACTTGCCTATAAGGCCCTTAATGGGTTAGCTCCTGCGTACCTAACTAGTCTTCTACCACGCTACAATCCATCACGCTCCCTAAGGTCGCAAAACTCTGGACTTTTGGTAGTACCTAGGATAGCAAAGTCCACTAAAGGAGGTAGAGCTTTTTCGCATTTGGCTCCCAAACTCTGGAATAGCCTTCCTGATACCGTTCGGGGTTCAGACACACTCTCTCTGTTTAAATCTAGATTAAAGACACATCTCTTTGGCCAAGCATTCAAATAATGCATCTCATAATCTTTTACTGCAGTCATAATCTTTTACTGCAGTTATATCTAATCAAATGCACATTATTATTCATTAGTTTGGGTTAAACAAATCATTTTTGCTTGGTTGGAACAGCAGCTACGCTAATTATGTTTGTATTTGTTTCTCTGTCTTTTGCCACGGGATTAACATCCCGTGGTAACTAGGATTCACACAAGCTTCAGTCTGGATCCAGAACACCTGAGAAGAGAAGATGCAACCCCTCAGAGGACCTCAGATGATGCCAACCCTGAAACAACATACAGAACTACCACATTTTGCTATAAGTTTGATTGCATCATATAATAATTGCTGTTAATATTATTCATCGTCTGTTTTATTACATCTTAAATTGATTTTTCCGTAC